CTCAAAGCAAAATCAATATATAATGTATATGTAATCTTGTTGAATTTGGTGCTGGTATCAGCTGCTCAATTATAGAATTATAGTAGATGATTACTATAGCTGTTTTGTTAAAAAAAAACAAACATGAATGGGTTCATATTTAACTATCACAGGTCTTCCAATTTAGCAAGTCATTATTCATAGAAGAGCTGGTGTCTCACGCCCTTAACCCTGAGGAAGGTAGGAGGTGATTTCCACAGGAGACAGAAGGAGAACGACGGTGAAAAATTAACATTTTATACCAAGTAAAGCAGCGAGAATATTTACATTTTTTATGCAGTGATATTTCCATATTGTAAAGCAGATTTGTTAAGTAGCTGTGAGAGATAAAGCATTAATAAAAGCCTGTGGTATTCTGCTTCCAATTATTCTGGTTACTTCAATATTTCAGAACCCCCTCCCCTTTTGCTTTGCGTTATTTATTGTAGGATTTCAGCACTAATCCAGCAATCTGTGACTAAGCACCAAACAGATAAGCCCAATGTGAGGCTCCTCAACAAGCCCCTCTCTTCATCTCATCCTGTCGGGTATGGTTGTTGGGGGGGGGGTTATTGTGGTGAAATAAAAGGGGACATCAAGCGGTGACCCTTTCCAACAAAGGGTGAAAGGATTCATAATGGCCTCGATGCTTTTTGCTGTATGAGTGTGTTACCCCCATGCCGTGTTCACTTACCACAAATGGCTCATGACCGTGACCTCAGATCAAACCCCTGGCGCTCCTGACGGCCGGGCGGGGTTCTCCACCAGCACAAAAGAGAGGAAGCCCCACCCACCCTGTCCAACAGCAGGAGTGTGAGGTGGCTTGCCAAATGCACAAACAAAACAAAAAACATACAGATTGTTCAAAAAAGCAGCAGCTGAGAAACTGTGATCTGATTATGGCACCAGGAGCTGGTGCGTGCGTAGCAGGGTAGGCGCCTTTGTTTGCTCTAGAAGTATGCTTTTGCAATTTCCCCCCAATGAATTTTGTGGAAAAACAAAAGAGAGGATTAACGTGGGGAGGGGTGACCATAGAAGCAAGTGAAATTCGGAAGGTAAGCAGATGATGTGACAGGGAAAAGAGAAAGGAGTGAGGGGTCAGTTTGGGATGGATGCTTTCAGACAGGAGGAAGCCGAGAAGGTTCTTGATGAACGTTTCTGAATGAAACCAAAAGAAGTGCTTCATATGAAAAAAAAAATGCTCACAATAATCATTATTTTACACATTCTTTTTTATTTCAAATTGCAATGCTGTGGCAGAAAGTGTAATTCAGTGAATTATATTTGCTGAAATGAAATGTGCACTGAGCGTCCATCTATTTCCCGACCAGGGTCACAGCGGAGTCTGGAGCCTACCCCAGGCAGTAGGGGGCTGGGGATGACCCCAGGTAAGAAGCGTAAGGTTAGTGACACCACTTAGCCTAACTGTACGAGGAATCCCACTTGACACAGAGAGATGACACAAACACCACACTCAAGCCCCCCAGCCATGGAGGTCTGGGGCAGTAGTGCTGCTCAGTGAGCCATCGTGCCCTCTGTGTTTGGCAAAGAGTGAGGCAGCTGGGCTGTCTAAATGTACCCCTATAGCTGCCATTCCCAGCTAACAAAGCTAGCTGGACATATGAGACCCCAGTATCTGTCCAAGTGAATGCAATTGGGGTGGCGATACTTTTATTTTATATGGCGATATTTTATATTTCATCATTTGCCTGCCCCCCCCACCCCCACAAAAAAGTTACCTTTGCATTTACATGATTAAATTGTGTCCCCTGTGGTATAAATTTATGACACTTAGTCGGTGCTTTAGAGTATGATGTCATTTTATTGCTGAGGTCAGGGAACAACCATTTCGATGATATCTCAGTGGTAATGCTCAAAGAAATTTCTGGTTAACATGACTTCGCACCCCCTCCTCAGAACCAGATAAAACCGGTTAGGGTAGGGCACGCATCTTGCAAGCATGTATATACAGTGGTATACCTCAGTTCTCAAACTCATTAGAACTTTCTTAAAAGTCGAACCAACCAGTTCGGGTTCAACGTGTGCTGTTGTCGGCTGCCACAATAATTAAAAAAAACTGAAAAACGCGTTAGAAACATTTTGCCTTGAGCATCAACAACTTCAAAAGGCCTGCCCGTGCCCAGCGCCCTACGCACTGCACTCTATGCCGCGGAAGGAGGATCGGAAAAACTGTAATAATACAGTTAATATTTTTTAACTGCATTCTTTTATAACTGTATTTTTTTCTTATCTTGTAAATTTGCCCTTAATGTACCGACTTTTATTTTTTATATATTATTTTAATCTTTGTGTGATTGTACAGCATACAGCCCACACAAAGCTTTAACGAGTGGCTTTCACATGTAAACAGTAAACAGTACTCCACATAGTACTTAGCTAGATGGCAGCGGTGTGACTCCCCAATCACAGCCTTTGGCCAGTCCAGTGTTTCTGTTTCAGTGATTTAAACATTCTGGGGCCGGTTTCACAAAGCAGGATTTCTTGCTTAGCTGGATAACTTGTTGGATTTAAGGTAGTCTGAGCTAGATGCATTTTATCTTTGTACACTTACATTTAGCCCTGACTACCTTTAATCCAACAAGTTATCCGACTAAGCAAGAAACCCTGCTTTGTGAAACAGGCCCCTGATATCCAGATAAGTGATATAGGCCTACCTTCCACAGAATAGCAGCCGCATGATTTCCCTAATCCGGCGATACAGGAACAGCCGACTGTCTCCACTACTCCACTTTCCCTTAGCATTACCCATGCTAAGTGTTTAGCTTGATTAACGCTCTGGCTCGGCTCTACAGCTGCTTTAAGAAAAATAAAGTCGCCTTGTTGTTGAGCAGTACTTTATTAATTACCTCGATGCTCTTGTAATTACGCAATTGCTCGCTATCAACGCCTTCGGAAAATACGAGGTAATTAATAATGTCGATGTAGCTAACATCGGGCCATTGTTTCATGTCATCTACCCAGTCCGTGAGAAGTGACGGGTGAGGCACTGCTACTGAACTGTCCTCCCCGCTTTTTAAAACATCTCTACTGTGTATCCACCACCGATGTGTTGCCTGGGACTGGGGAAGCAGGGACAAGACTCAAGCCATCGGGAAACACGGGGTTTAATTGCGAACAGGCAGAACAACACAATGACGTTACAATTATGACCGGAATGGGAAAACAAACTGAAATGCGGACTAAATACAGAGGACTAATGGCAACAACCAGAAACAACTGATCACACGGGGATTCCACACGAGGTTAACGAGGGGGCGTGGCACACGGAAGGAGCGGACGATCGGGGAAGGACAGGGGTAGTGTTGGGGTACATTCTTTTGGAAGCCATTAAGAAAAAAAAATGCTCTTCTTGTTTTATCCTGTTCATTTTGTGTTTAAATGAAAAAAAAAAAACATATTTAGGTGTAATTTTTTGGGGCCGGGAACCAATTAATTGGTTTTCCATTATTTCTTATGGGGAAAATTCGATCAGAACTCGAACTTTTTAGGATTCGAACCCGAGTTCTGAATGTATTAAGTTCAAGTTCTGAAGTACCACTGTACTTCATATAATCTGCATGCTGCAGGTCGGGGCATGTGGGGGTGACCTCTGTTTTTGTGGTGTTCCTGCCATTTCTGCTAAGTGCGCTAGACGCTCATACCTTTGTCCCTAAGCTTGCATTATTTCTTGTGGATTTTAACAAGTACTATATATATGTTCCAAAACATGACAGCAACACTTAGCTCAATCCTCAATTCTCCTTTTAACCTATGTCATGGGTGTCAGATGTCTGTCACCCAGGCATTCTTGCAACAATATAAAAAATGCATTCCAAAAGCAGTTATTCTAAAAGCTGGTTATGAAAAATATACCCTTTGTTCAATTTTTCTCTCACACCCCCCAATATCAAACTCTCTCCGACCCCCTTGCAGGCTTTCCATTTAACCGTAAAGGCGAATTTAAATCCTCCTCTTTCCCTTTGATCTGCCCCTACTCTCATCCTATCAATATCTCACCCTGCTCTTAGTTTTTTTCATCCATAAAGCCACCCTGTCGCCAACGACTTAGTGATATTTAAAGTGGCGGTTGTTTCCCGCCGATGATCTTCATGGTGCGTATTATTGACATAATGTACCGTTCCGCTGGACCTTTTGGGCTGTGTTGTCATGACCGGGAATAGTTGTTGCAGACGGTGACATAGTGCTAAATCATATACTATGTTTAAAACGCACGATCGGCATAAAATCGATTACATCAAATCGCCCGAGTGATTCACGTGTGAGCTGTACTTTGATGAAATACACGCCTTATATATACCGCACTGTAAATATAACAAATGTTTAAATATCCCAGGAATGCGTGTGCCTATAGTATCGTTTGTGAGTGGTGTACTCTATCAGTACAAGAACCAATTGGCCTAATGCTGAGACAACCACCTTGTAAAGCAATGTATATGCCGATTAACATAATTGTACAAAAATCTGCATAAAGGACTTAAGAAAAACTCCAAGTATACCACTGCATATACACGATAAACTGCACTATAAAATATTGCGCCACAATCCAATAGTTACTTTGGTATCGATGTTTTAATTTCAAGAGCTGAATCTTAATTGCTTGTGATGTATTATCTACCTCTCTTGTAAATCGTTTTCAACAAAAGCGGCTGCTTACTACAGAGTGTAAATGTGAAATTAGTTTTATCGATTGCATTGTATAGTGTACGTACTTTTGAATTTGAAGATATAACATCATACGTTGACAAAAAGAAGTTTCACTATCTTTTATTTTAATAATAAAATGAGGTAAATGTTTGTATTATTTGCAATTAAACACGAATCGATCTCAAAATTTGTTTCTTAAAAGCTGGCTATGAGGGTTTTTTTTACCTTAAGAGTGCATGGTGGGGGAGCGGAATGGAAGGGGGCGGAGGGGGGGTCACCTTTTGTGCGGATATATCAAGCAAGACACGGAGACCAGCTTCAGATTTCTCCGGCGAGAGAGAGAGAGAGAGATAACGAAGGGGAGGGAGAGAAACTAGAGAGGGAAAGCCGACAGATTTGTTAGCGGCCGAGGAGACGAACTTCAGCCACAGTAAACAGTGCAAATCATATCAAATATTATAAACGATATGGAAGGGATGGTAGTACTGGGACGGACGTCGTTCGTATACACCTTGCTACTTTGGTCTTTAAAAGGTAGGACTTTGGATATGTTTTTATTATTATTTTAATAATCGAGTGTGTGTTAAAAACATTTCATTTTATACTTAATATGTTCACTTGTAGGCTATTTCTTTTTTTGTTTTACCGGTATTGGTTTTGCCCTGTTTGCGTTAAAATCCTTTTTAAAAATGCTTTTTTTCCTAAAATACTAAGTACTAAAACTGTACTAATAATCCATATCTTGTTTTATATTACCGATTACGGAGTCTGTATGAGTAATGTTTACTTTCGTGCATATTTCACATAAGCGGTATTATTGCGGTTGATTTGTCTGTGTGGCAACATTTCTTCGTTTTCAGTAATCACATTGAGTAGGTCATTTTAGTTGGTGGGTGTCATGTGCATAAAACTAATGCAAGACTGGACGTCCTGGCGTCAAGTGGACAAAAGTGAAAACTAGGCACCGCGGCCATTTAAAATGTCATTATGTGACAGCGGTTCCAGAATAAACGCACATTTTCCCAGGCTGATCTGAGCCTCAGTATGCTTCATACTCAGTTTAGTGTCAGGTTTCATCTGCCTGCTAGGAGATTAGTATTTGTGATTGCTTTGATCGGCGAGGGCACCTTAATTGTGCAAATGGATGTTTTTTCCGCCTTCTTGCGGACTGAATACACTTATAAAGTGAGTTTTGACTCACTTGAGTTAACATCTCTTGATATAGAACGCACAGGAAGTCCCACACCAGTCTCGGTGCGCCCGAGAAAATCAAGTAGCTCTGAGTAGTTTCTAATTGTCTTATAATGTAATGTATTTCTAGTGTACAAAGCTGCATGGTGCATGAACTGTAATCGATGACTGGCCCAATGGCGCAGGAGAGAGTTTGATATCGAGGGGGACACCACGTCCACCCGTCCCCCGGTTCCTACGCATTTGATAAGGCCGTGATGTGCTGTGGGTTGACTTTTCTGTGGTGCTGTGAATCTGGTGTTATAACACTTATGAAGACCCGTATGCCGGTTCCCGAACAGCCTAAGTGCGCTTGTGCCCTGTGGAGGATTGGTCGTACCTGTTTGTCCACCGTCCCGTTTGAAACCAACCCTTCTAATGTCTGGCAAACATATTAAAGTTTTCTATGTAGGCTATATTACGCCCGTCAAAATATCTCCTTGCGTTTTGATTAAATCACCAATCCCTTTAGCTCACCTCTGTGTGTACTCAGTATGTCTGTTATTTAGAAAAATGTGCACTATTTTTCCTAGTAAAAACTATCAGCGTCATGTGTTACATATACTTTATCCTTTTAATACCTCTCACTTTGTATAATTTGTGTCTGTTAATTGTATATTTTTAAAGTAAACATAAACTAAAGACTAACCATATGTACTGGCAATTCCGCGTTTTTCTTGGCACAAGAAGCTGACTTTAACTGTGAACTAACACACACACACACACACACACACACACACACACACACACACACACACAAAAGAAAATAAAACCAAACCGCACATATTCTCAGTCTAGCTGCGAAGTCTCCACTGTTTTCTCTTCCCAGATTCAGCCCAACCTCCTGGGCAGCTCAGCTAATAAGAGATAAATTAGTTGGATTCTTGAGTAGCCCTCCTGCAGCACATCTCTTTCCCAACGCATCGTTGAAAATTTTGAGAGATAAGGTACCCGATCAACAGTAAGACTTCCACGCACACAGGACCGGGATTATTATCGTCACCAAATACTGAAACTAAAACGGCACCAAAAGCTTTTCGTTGATCAAAATTGAACACAACCAATAGACTGAGACATGAAAACTAAACACAAAGTAACTGCAAAACTAACTTAAATGAAAATTACTAGAAACCAAAATTTATTTCTATTTTCTACTTTTCTTTTTGAGTTTTATAGACTGTCAGTCTATATTGGTCTACGAGATGTCCATTTTTTGAATAATCGACGATCGACATAACCTATGATAATGGTATGACATTGGCAAATTTATGCATGCCCTGTGGGATTAAAGAGATCAGAGAAGAGGGATTAGTTAAACATAGACATACACCAAATATGGAAGTACACTGTGGACCCATTTTGAGTACAATTCAAAGTCTAATAAGAGCAAGTGTTTCATGGATGTAAGCGGTTCAGCTTGTGGTGCACAGCTCAAGGGAAATAACACGATTAATCTAAAGACATACCTAACTGCCACCACAAATATGTTTATAAAGAAGTAAGTGGAGCGAAGAGGAGAGTGTTACAAATCCCTAATGCAGCTCTTACATGAGACTTAGGCCCAATAAATTAAATGCCCCCCCCCCAATGGTGGATGGGCCACCCCTCTTATTACCTTAATGTTCCAAGACAATAACCCTCTTAGTTTGTTCACAACCATGTCTGAAGATCGCAGTAGCAAAGCAGATGGCACTGGAAAAAATTGTAGCGACATCTGAGTGGAGCTGAAGGTGCATAACGGAAACAGAGGGGTTGTGATCTTTGTGTCTGAGGTGTTTTAATGCCAATGTCCACTTCCTCGGTTTAATATCTTCTCCGGCAGCATCAAACACTCACCCCTGCAGCTCTGTGTAATTAGGGCCACAGTTTCATTACTTTGGACTGAAGGCAAAGATAAAAGTTTGGCTCTTTTCCTCCCAGTGTCTTGAGGCTGTGGACGCAGCCTTCTGAGGATTAAGCTGAGCACCATTCAGAGGAGGTGGAAAAAAAAACTTCAGCTGAGATCAGATACGAAGACTTTTTTTTTCTTTCTCCAAAGCTGTTAGATCAAGCATTTGTTGATTCACTGGGACAGGCATCAGTGCTGCCTGCACCACGCTTCATTTTAATGGTCACGTCTCTGCTAGGAAAGAATGAGATCCCCGAGGACAGGTCCCGTCCCGTCTTATCAACGCTCCACACTCAGCCAGGACTGCTCATGTAGGGCCATTTCTGCCCTCCATAGCAAACGATGGGTATTGCTACAAGAAGACTCCTCCCTAAAAGCTGCTTTCTTCTGGCTAGGCACCATAAGGCCAGCTTATAATCCTTAAGCCTTGCGTTTACATAGTCTTGTCGCTGATAAACTTGAGCCTGCCCATGTGCTTTCAGAGTAATGTACCTTCTGGACAGAATCCATGACTTTGCTAGTGATTGAACTAGGGAGCTCTTTCATCTGACTGATTTGTAGTCTTGAACCATTCAATGACTCAGTGATTAATTATCGAAATGGTAATGCTCTGTGCTTTACTTGCATCTATTATTCTGAGTGGTATACTCAGCTATGCAAAGTAGTACATTGAGGTACAGTGAGTGGTATACTCAGGTATGTTCTGTAGTATATTGAGGTATGCTGAGTGCTATACTCAGGTAAGCTTAGTGGTATTCAGTAGTCAGGTATGCTATCCATCCATCATTTTCTGTAACTGCTTGCCCAATTCAGGGTCGTGGGGGGTCCAAAGCCTATGCTGAGTGGTATATAGAGGAATAGTGAGTGGTATACTTAGGGCGCAGTAACTGGCTGTTTCAGGCATTTAGACCTTATTTGATAAACTACAGTTGAGAAGAGTCATTAAGTCAAGCAGAAAGGTCCAGGCTCTGTGCTCAACTGTTTGGTGCTACAGTCTGAGTGCCTCCCCCCAACCCTCAACCCCTGGAGGCTGGATTCGAGTCCCTTATCTGCGAGTTTACAGCACTGCGAAGCATGTATTTTCATGGTCTCTTAGGTTCAGTATTCTTTGAGCACTGTGCTTCGCTCCTGCAGGGTGATGTGTGAGGAAAGAAGATGTTTTTTTGCTTTTTTTTTTCCAGACCTATAGCTATTTTTTTAGAAAGAAGCTGATTTACTCAGGTAGAGGGGTCTACATTAGGAATGCACTACAGATAAGGAGTGGAGGAGTGGATAAGGAGGTTCAATTTACTTGAACTGCTTCTAAGTACAATGTTTAGAGAGGATTCGGGGAAGAGCTCCGTGTTGTATTTCATTTAAGAGGAGTAATAATGAAGAATAAAGCCTGAACTTGAATGTTTTCTTGGAGCAGCTTGACTAATTAAACACACCTGACTGCTGTTTCATGCACCTTGTCCTGGTTTGATATAAGGTGTCTTTTTTTTTTTTTACCAGAAACGGGTCTTGATGTGTAATCGGCATTTGGGTGAGCCTTTCAAGGCAAACCCCAAACTGCAATTAAAGAGCAGACACGGGAGCGGCCCGGGACCTTTGCACCCCGCACATCCCCCCTCCCTTTGTCCCAGTGCGGTGCTGTTTAATTGGTAGCTTTTGGCTCTTATTGAAGTCTGTGCCTGTGTGCTGAGGTTTTTTTCCTCCTTCTGCTTTGTTCATCCTTTGCACACGCCTGAGCACTCTGTGGGAGGGGGGGTTGGGTGGTTCGGAGGGGGACGCAGGTGAGGGATGCGTGGAGGGAGTACCATTTGTTCCATGACCACAAAACTGTCTTTGCTTATTTGTGGAGATTGCTGATGGGTTCCCAGTAACATAAACAGGGTATCTGCCAAAAAAGAGGGTCATCCTGTATCTCCGGTCCCATATCTGAACACATCAACACCGCAAGCATAAGGCAGAGATGGGGAGGGTGACGGCTGATTCCCCAAGTTTTTCCTCCACGTCTGTCCTGTCATTAGTGTTACCAGGGCTGGGGGCTAGTAGGTGGGAAGAGCGTGGTTGGACGATGGGTGGGTGGGTGGATGGGGGGGGTTGAGTGTCCATCATTGTCTGCCTGAGGCATGTGAATGGAGCTAAGGTGGCAACCATTGTCCTCTGGCTGGGGGGGGGGGGGCGGTGCAGTTGGTGCATGGGGAGTGGGGTGGTGAGTTGTGGCTGGGCCTACATTTTATCAAGGTCAAGTGCGATAAAAGCATTTACTGTAAACAGAACAGTACAGAGAAAAGGAGGAAGGCAGATCGAGGAGGTGCTATTTGTTATGCTGAGATTTGGCTACGCATAAATTAATATTTTAATAAGGGCTTTAATCATGTCATTCTTTGTATAGTAATAGGAGGAGGGTCATGGAATGAAGTGGTACAGG